GCCGCCACCGCCGGACATTTCAGTGAAACTGGAGTAGTAGTCGTCCCCTGTAACTTGCATCTCATTCAACGGCAGCTGTGCAGACGGTTGCCTGACAGCACCGCTCAACATGGAGGGATTCGGGATTCTCTGTCTAGGGGTGATCGGTCTTGGTTGTAGATCGACATGATCAACGACAGTAGAAGCAACACCCTGTTGCGAGTAATCACTGAAGAAGCTCCCCTCAGCTGAATCGGCTAGAAGTTTATTAGTTGCAGCCTCTGTTTCTTTGTCGACGGCACTTCTTCCATCAGAATCCTCGAAAGCGGAGTCGAAGAAGGAGGTACTAGCACCGGTGTAATTGTGGTACGAAATCAATGAGCTGTGTGGGTAGACTTTGTGCGGACTCTCTTCGCATTTGGGCCTGAGCAGACAAGCGTTATCGTTCCTGAAATGAGAAAGGAAGTTGGCACTTTTCAGCTACCTAAGCCACCGAATCTGAAAAACAACCAAGGATTTTACAGAATAAGTAGATCCACCGAACTCCGTTTAGAAGAGTTGCTGCAGTAAGGATGCCTCCTGTGGCCGCCTAGACAAGACATGGGAAGAGGGAACGCCCACAATTCATGCGGCTTTGGGCCAAATTACGGGGAAATAAGGTTATGGATAAGGGCGAGGGTTAGAGTTAACTTTAAGGTTAGAGTCAAGACCAGAGTTGGAATTGGGGTTAGGATTATGTTAAGGGTTAAGGTTTGGGCTCGTGGTAACTACAGGTTTTCAGTTAAGGGTAGAGCCAGGGTTGATAATAAGGTCACAGTTTAGTTATGTTAGGGTTAAGACACGGGAATATTAAGTCTTCCTGAGATTTATCGCAAGACCAGCTATTATAAATGAACGGGGCGTTGCTAATTTCATATCTTGTTTAAGCGGTCATACAAGTCATCCTTACCATTTCTGCACTAAACTGATGCGCTGGAGCTATTGCATTTCGGCGGGCGCGGATTCAAGAACCGAACCAGCTTCCTTAAATTGAATTTGAGGACTTAACTGTCAATTCAAACATTGAAGGAGAGCGCTCCATTTTAGCAGATAATTAATAATGTCGACTGGATTAAGAAGACTACCGAAAGCCGTTTCGCTTTAATGTCACGATCCCCGAGAAAATCAAACAGCCACCGTGATATTCATCATGTCAATGTCATTCGGATTTATTTGCTACTAGCTGCGTGTTAGGACTTGGCCGAGTTGGCCAAAGCATGTGTCCTTAAACCCGCTTAGTCACCCACTGCGTCCACGTGCCTTGTTTCATCCTGTGCCCACGTGCTTTGTGTCCCATGTCCTGACCCCTTGACCCCGTGACTGCCTTCCCATTCGTTAACACATTGCAATCTTTATTCCAGTGTCCTCATTCACCACTCCCCGCACCATGTCCTTATTCGCTCCCTCATTCTTTGATTCCTGCCCCGTGTGCTTATTCACTTATAAACTGGCAGCATCGCGTCTGCGTCATTCACACGACTGCTCGTCTAAGCACCTCGAATGTACGTCCCCCCCCCCTTTGTTTTCG